GGAAAACAATTTGGAAAGTAACAACTTTAACACACTGTATCTCGAAAACAGGGCGTCTAAGAAATAATCTTTACATGAACTACCCCTATTATTATTCCATGAGGAACCTGCACACAAGTTTTTTTGAAACTTGAACGGGACACCCTGTATGTAAGTGTGTTACACAATCTAATTTTTTATTGCAATTAGGTAATAGGTCGAGGTTATTTATTAAACTATTGTCGCTTTCACTTACTATATCAATAAATTGACAATTTTGTGCGTTACACATGATACACTGTTAACTCAAGGTCAAAAACTGTATCGATTTCTTTGACTCTGTAAAGCTGGTATTTTATTAGTACTGTATTTAAAGCATATTTGTTACAATAAAACTATAATACCTACTCTTCTAATTTGTGTATGGCAATGTATGTATTTTTTAAAATTAAGTTTTTAATATGCTGTATAGTTATCATCATTCTCTTAATGATCAGTTTTTTTTTTAGTTTTCATATGAGTTATGTACATAATAGCTGTTTTGCATTGACAATTTATTCATCAATTAATTCACGAATTTATTGGCAAACAGTGTGGTTTTACACTGCTACAGACTTTGTCAAGTTTTTTGACGTATGAATCAGTTCTACCAATGAATCAAAGAAGCAAATAAATTTCAAAAATGTCACCTTTCCACTCATAATTGTAGTGATACAACAGCGGTACCGTTCTGACACATATTGGGTTGATACTTCCGAACTTCACGAAGAAATTGATGAAAATTAGAACATGCTCTAATTCGTCAAGAATTTGATGAATAAATTGATGAAGTTATTTGACAGCTGATTTGGTCATTACACTTGTCCAATTTCTTGATGAAGCGACTTCATCAATTAATTGATCAATAAATTGTCAATGTAAAACAGCTATAAGAAGATAACAACAATTTAGTTTGACATATTGTCGATTAAACGTACTTCGTAGTAATTAACTGTTTAAGTAGGTACCTTATTTTTCAGTAATTGAGTGTTTATTTGTTAGTTTTATTTTGTAACAGATTTGATTCAAACTTTATGACAGTAATTACCTTGTCGAAATAAATTTTTCAGTCGTTTAGGGTCCCTTAATGTTCGTTCTTAAAACTAGTTACTATTTTTTAAATTAGAATTCGCCATAGTGCATTAGAAAGTAGACTTAATATGGAGTAAGAAATTCACATTTACTCAATATTTAAAAGATATTTTGTACATTTCTTAATTTATTTTCTAAATCAGCTTATAAAAGAACTTTTATGATGGATTTTACGCCAAAAATAGATAAAAAAGTTAGACCTATGTATCCTGAAATGTTTATCTTTCGAAACAGATAATTAAAAATTAATGAAATGGAAATAATATGACTTATTTGAAGGTACATAAAGCAGCTGAGGAATACCTTGAATTATTATTATTGTTATAATTATAACTTGAAATCATGCCACTTTTACCAATAGTCATATCAATAACTATTAGTCCCATCGGTATGAAGCAGCAGACCACATTTTTTTAAAGAAAATTTGGATTTTGGACCAAAAATTTTACTAAAATTACCAAGACGCAATTAAATTTCAATTAAATAGCTTCAGCCGTTTTCTTTTTAAAATGTAACACTCCTAGACACATGTTATAAGAATTTTTTTTTTAATTTGTGATCTAGAATCCGCCATTAAGGCATTTTTGTTACACCCTGTATAACTCTATACACCACTGACGTAGATAGGGATAAAATATATTCATGTTTCATTGATGCGACTACATTTTTCTTTAATTTTTTATGAACTATTGTACAAAAAATATAATTTAAACTTATTTAAAATAGTTAGGCATTGGTAAAAATTGAAACTGTTTCTTTTTTATTCAGTATTTTCATAGAAGCTTTTAGTGTAGAGATACAAATCCTCTTTTATTATTAACACTTCGTTAACTTCATTTTAATATTTTAGAAACATACTTCCTTTCTCAACCTCATAGTTTTTTTTTGCTTGACTAATATACAGTTTGGTAAGATCATTACTTACAGCACCCATACACAGTAAAATGTTTAACAGTCGAAAGTTTATACCCCTACAGTTTGGTATATGGTATGTGACATTTCAAGAAATTAGAGACTAATCACCACATTAGCATGTATCAGGGTTTCGTAGATAAATAAGCTTGTATCATTTCCGGTATACAACAGACGAAGCATTTTAAGTGTAACAGGAAGCGCATGCATAGTAATAATACGGATAAGAAAACAAAAATTAAATTAAATCAAAATTTAAAAACTCTTTGTTCCATGTACCCACATCTTAGCTTTACCGCTAAAGTATAAATGTTGAGCAGAAGAAAACGCTTTGATATACATTACACACTCGTTGTAATGAAGCACTTGTGGAAGTTTCTATTTTTAGCATATACAAACATGTACACATTTATCTCGCAAAAGCATGAGTAACTTTTCAGGACATGACCGTTAATAATTTAATATTCTTTTAATTTTGCATGAAATTATAAAGAATTATTACGTATTATAACTAGTTAAGATTTATATAAAGCGCAGATATAAACAAATGTGTTTAACATTGCCAAACAAAATAAATTTAATAAATAAAATTTATTACCCATAAAACGTATTTATACATCATAAATTTATATGCGGATAGATGAAAAATATCAAAATATGAGAGAAAATATTACAAAATCTCTGACACAGATACTATTCGACTCGATTTTTGATATACTTTTAACTAAAATCGAGACTAAAATAACATGAAGTAGAGAATAAAATGTCATATAAATAAAAGTTTGTATTTCATTTTTTTTTGTTAATAACTCCGTAACTTTTAAAGACATATTAATAACATTTAACGTGTGGTAGGAAATTTTATATAGTCGAAGATAGACTTATTATAGACTTTTTACATAAAACATAGAGGTTGCTAGAAACATCTTATCTCTTTTTTGCCACATCTAGCAGACCTTTTGCGAAAGGCAGATAATTTTTTAATCTCAATTTTCATTGCATACCATTATTATTTATAGAATCCAGACGCAAATATACTTATTTAACCAAACAACAAAAAAATATTAATTTCAAAAAGTCCCTTTGCTTCACCTCAACAATCTACATTTTCCCCTTCTTGCACCAGGATGTACAATTGTACAAATAAACTTCAATATATTGCGTTCCCATTCCGTATATAACGGCTTTACAACCAACAAGAACGAAAATTATCATCAGGGCGGGCCTTAGAGTTGTGAAAGCGGGTCCGCCTCCACAGATCCTAGCCCGAGACCAACAAGGGCAGATTTCTAGTTAAGGGGCCACGGTATAACAACCCGAAAAATCATCGTATGATTAGTATAAAATTTTCAAGACAAATAATAAAGTAGCTTTTCAAAAAAACATCTTCTCGAGATCTTAACATCCCCTAATTTCAGGTAAGAAATTAATTCATATTCGGTTATTCTGAATCCCCATCAATTTCTATTGAAATATGTTTAACAGTGATTGAGTTATGTTAAAAACAAATGAATAAAAAATTTGAAGACCGATAACTTTTTAAGAGAAGCAAATTTCTCTCAGACAAAACATGATCTAAATTGGTTTATTTTCAATCAAGGAAACTATACCTTTGAGGTATGACTCTTTTGCTTCCGTACACCCTATATATTAACAAGATGATCAATTCAATAAATCATATTATCATTCCGATAAGACAAACATTGAAATATCGAGTAATTGAGGCAATGGTTTACTTACTACTACTATTTTAGAAGTATCTTAAAAAAAGCTGCAATATTAGAAATTACCAACAAAAACTATATATTTTCACGCTTTTCTATGCCCGGTTCTCTTGACATTTTAATATTCTTCAGTCTGTTAAGGTGTGAAATTGGAAAAAATCGGCAAATATTTTTAAATATCCAGAACGGAATTGTATCACTAATAAAAAATACTAAAAAAGTTACATTAGAAAACAAGATCCACAGTGGCAACCAGGAAAACACTTGAAAAATATTTTACAACATAAACAGCTGAAAAAAGAAAAACATTTCACAATTTAACCGGAGAATACGCAATACCTTTAAAGCACAGGCTATGTCCTAATAAAAAAATGTTTCCATTCTGGTGAATGCGCAAGGAACACGACGAATTTGTTACACGAATATATTAAAATTTCCGTTAAATAAATATCCAAGCATATTTAGCATAAACTATTTTGAATGTTAATCGATTTTTTATAACCTCTCTATATGAAAGAATTTAACTGTTATTTGGATAGATATACGATCCTAAAATACCTAACCAATAAAATATAGTATATATTTTTATTTTTGCATGCCACATTAATATTTCTAGTGTGTTATATTTATTATCATTCTTGATGGAATCACACTAATTTCATTTTTATAATGATAATAATAATTCCATCATTCAGATACATCTGAATATTTAAATTCTTAATTTTTTTATGAATAGAAATTAACAGAAAAGTACTGACAAAATGGATTAAGAATTGCATCTACATTTGATTGATTTTTCTGCACATAAATATAATAGTTAAATTCAAGATACGGTAATTTTTTGTATTAGTAATATATAATAGTAGAAAGCAAATATATCTTAACTGTCATGATCGTCAATGAGTTTTTCTTAGAGGGTAAACACAATTATTATTTACATATGGGCTATGGTGGATAATGAATTTAAAAAACATTATTTTGTATTACGACATCTTGCAAAATAAAGCACGACCCAGATGTGCTAGAGGTCACTGTTACAATCACAAGTCTGAATGAATGCAAAAACTAAAGAATTTAATTTTCAATTTTAACATGTTGTGTGCCTGAAATATATTTACAGGATAAGCAAATTATTTACGGGTCAATGTTAACTATGACTGGTTACCTAGATATATTAACAACGCACCAATAATAATTTAAATAGGTTACAGGTTACGCTAGGTCACAATTAAAACATCTATTGGCATTCGTCACCTTTTCACTATATCCTCGCCGAGCAAAACAAAACAACGGCACCTTCTGCGTCGTACGAAAGCCGCCCGACCAGCTAGACTGAGATTCTTATAAATCCCGATACACAAGCTATCGCTTTGCTAGAGAGAGGTTAGAGTGGTGATAATCGGAATGACATCATAATGTACCGAGAAAGTGTGACAATCTGAAAGGCCGGATGGAAACGTGCGCTCTCCGAAGAAGACGATCCGCCGGCACGCGCGAATTTCCACTGCGCTGCAGCCGCATTACGTAACTCTACGGAATGAGGGTCCCGATGCTGGTGTCTGAGTGGGGGAGGATGACGCGAGCAACTCGTCTGGAGAACCGCCGTCTCGATGGGGAGGTCGTCTAACACCGCGAGGAGTTCACGGCTAGGGATGGGTGCTGAGGATACTTTAGATTTAGAAGATCGACTTTCTTCCTCTTTAAAATGGCTGCTGAATGATTATGTGTCCTAAACCAGTGTTCCCAACAGCCGGTACCCCGACCGATACCGGTCCGCTAGAAAATTTTGACTAACCGTAGAGAAACAAACACTACTCTTTCAAAATTATACTGTCTTTTTTTTAATTTATCTTATGCTAGAGCTAACTGAGTTTAAATGGTTTATCGAAGATATGTGAACGTTTAGCATCAAGAAAGTTATCTCGTTGAGAGCCTATTTAAGTGAAAACATAATGAAATTTCTTCTTGGTCTTTTAATTCTCAACTTTTCACAAAATGTTATGTGATAGTACATAATCTTGACATGGTTGTCAAAAGGTGAGATTCTATCATTGTTCTAATTATTCTAAAAAGCTGGTGAAACAATACAAAATGTAAAATACAAATACACCTTCAAATCCAAATTACAAACCAAATTCATTGAAATTACAAACCAAAGGATTTGTAATTTCGTCAATACTATAGAAAGCATTTTGGCCGACAATTTGTTTACTTTATTACGAAAAGGAATATAATACATTTTGTTCCATTTAAGGCTAAACTATTTTTTTTACAATAAAACTAAACCACAACATTTGATGCAAGGCCACTAAGTGCATCAACCCCCACTTAATCCCCGAAGAGTTGTCATCTGCGAACAATGTTACAAATTTATTTAAATTAGCAATCACTGCAATGTCATTAATAAAAGTAAGAACATATGCTAAAATATTTCCTTGAGGGGCACCTAATCGGATATGCCTTGGTTGTGAAAAATGTTTAAGGCCATTAACATTTAAGAGAATTTCTGGTGTTTTCCCTTGTAAATCATAGTAATTAGAGCTTGCGTTAAGATTGGAAACTCACAGATCTTCTAAACGATTTTAATTTATCACTCCAAGAAAATATGGAAAATGTCTTTACTCTTTGGAATAAAATGGAGGAACTTAAAAACAAAATTATATTCTGGGAACAGTATTTGAATAAAGGGAATTATTAGATATAAATCGCAAAGACGTACTAATTGTTACAAACCATCTGCAGGTATTACTTTAAAAATTTGAACAATATTAATGAGAAATCAAAGATCGAAAAAAAATATGTGGATATCAGATACTTTTACAAAAGATAAGAGTATTATCAACCTTAATATTAAAAAACGATTCTTGTACTCACAACTTTGTACAACTCTGTATTTCAGTAAAAAAAATGCTAACAAATTAGCTTATCAAGTGCTGATACGTTCTAACACGTAATATGTACTGATGCTTTCTAAACTTATTTTTTTTAACAAATAGTATCTTGCATTGAATTCAAATTGTACCTACTACCAAAACTAAAGCAGGCAAGTCCGATTAATTGTCGAGAAGAAATTATTTTCGTAAAACATAATTTTTATACAGGGTGTTTTTGAATGGAGTAGCATAAATGATACTAGTGAATCTACATTTCAAAAGAACACGATCTGCAAAAAATCGCCTTAGTAAAATGTTCACCCCTGAAGAGATATGGGCCATCAAAGTTTCCAAAAAAATTATGAAAATTGGCTGTAATTTGAAAACCGAACGAGGTACAAATAACAAATTTTTTACAGGTTGTTTACTAATACAGATGCGAGTTTTCAACTATTTTTCGAAAATTTTAACCC